CTTTTTATTGCTCAACTGTAATAATTCTTTGAAGTCACCTCTGGCAGACACTATTGGTTGCTGGCCCAATAGCCAATCCACTCCAGCCTCTAAAACTATGTTTTTTTTCCTTGCTCCTCAGGACGACACTTGATTTCCCAGCATCCTATGCAACTAGCAGTGACCATGTGACCTAGTTCTGGCCAATGAGATGTAAGAGGATGCCCACTGGAGGGCAGGAGCTTCTGGGAAAGATCTTCCTTTCTTTCCTAATGAAAGGAGAAAAAAATGGCGGCAAATCTTGGCCTTTCCCTTCCTGCTTTTGGATCCCATCATGCACAGACATGACATTTGGTTCTGTGACAGCCATCTTGTGAGCAGGGGTGACATAATTGGCTCACTTACTTGGGGTCTTGATGACGCTGTCAGGCTGCTGCCCCAAACCTGGGACTTCTTACTTCCCAGACTTCTTACTCTAATTAAAAGTGATATTTACCTCGTCAGTATTGTAGTCTTCACTGCTGAGCACATCGGGACCCGGGAACTTGCCCTTCAGCCTTGCTCCTCTGCTACCACTGGTTAATGTGCCGCCGTTCGTTCATCAACAATTTCCAAGCCTTTAGTGTGTCTCGGCCCCTGTGCTAAGCTCTGGGACTATTGCAACAGCAAAGGACGGCAAGCTCTCAGCTCCGAGGGACTTTTACTCGAGTTATAGATACAGGTTTTTTAAAAAACAGACCAATTGGGGGGAAATAGTGGATGTTAAGAGAACAGACATATTTGCTCCCTTTCAGACCAGCGCTGCTGCCCGTATCTTTCACTACATCAGGAAGCTATGGCTTGTGGCCTTGGGCCTCCCATTCCGCTTCACCCAAGCACCAGTAACGGCAAGTGCTTCTAGTCTCACGCACGTTGTTATCGGCAGGAGCACTTTGCTCAAGTTGGAATTTTCAATCCAATAAAATGAATCCACTTACATCTTTTTTAAAAAAAGCAAAACAAGGCAATTCTTCTTTTTTGGAACAATTGACTAGGAACAAAAAGGAAGATATTAATTTTAGAAACTTCTTATCCAGGTGAAACAGAGACATTCTTCTGTTTCTGAAAAATGATGTGTCCTGGCAGATACAGCGAGCTTTCACCTCTGCCATCCGTTAGCAGCGAGGACAGAGCAGTTTTTTTTTTAAAGAGGGGACTAATGTAATAAACTTGCTAGAAATAAATTAAAGCAGGGGGAAAATGAAGCATTTCTCCAAAGATCTGTGATGTTTTAGGCATCAGTACATGGGTGGGAAAATGGGGCCGGGTGCCAGGTCAGGGAGGCTGATGATAAAGGGTGAACATGACAACAGCCTCTGCTTACGGTTTTGCCCCGACCCCATTTATCCCATTTACCCTGCACCAGCTGCTGTTTTCAAAACTCGCGACAAGGTTCATATCATTTTTCCAATTTTACAGGTGAGTCTGAGAATATGAGCTCTTCGCCAAGGTTACACAGCTAGTGAGTGGCAAAGCCAGGACCTGTGCCCAGGTCTGTTGGGCTCCAATGCTTGAGTGTGCACGTATTAGTTTCCTATTGCTGCTGTAACAAATTATCACAAATGCCTAAAACAACACAAATATATTATGTTACAGTTCTGAAAGTTGTAAGTCAAAAATGGGTCAGCTTCTGGAAGCTCTAGGGGAGAATCTGTTTCCTTGCCTGTTCCAGTATCTGGAGGCACCTACACTCCTTGGCTTGTAGCCTCCACCCATTCAAGTCCAGCAGGGTAGCAGCTTTAAGTCTCTCTCTGTGACAGTCACATCTTCTTTTCCTACTCTGACTTTCCTGCCTCCCTCTTATATCCAGGTTCCACCTGGATAATCCGGGATCATCTCCCCATCTTAAGGTCCTTAGTCGCATCTGAAAAATCCTTTTGTCATGTAAGGTCACATGTTCTGAAGATTAGGACATGGGCACGTGAGGGAAGAAGGGGCATCATTCTGTGTGCTGCAGGCTTTTAGCTATTATGCTCTGTGGCCTCATCGATATATTAATGGCATCAATAAGTTGCATTCTCTAGTGCATGCACTCTCAATGGTGATAATATTAACCCCAAGGAGGCAAAAATTGGTTATGGGGGGACGATGAACAAAACTTATTCTTTTTATGTATAAAGCACAGATATAGTATGTACACGATATGCAGCCTATCTGTGATATTACAATTTCATAAATGGGATTCTCTCAGCTCTTAATGCATTACCTCGTTTAGTCCTGGAAGCCACCTGTGAGGCCAACACTTGCCCACCTTCCTTCTTTGCCCCACCATCCACATCCTGCCTCTCTTCGTGCCCCCCACTCCTGCACCTCAGCTCTTCCTGAATGCGAAGGTGACTCCAAGGTATCCCTTGACAGCAGACGTGCCTTTTTAAACCATGTTTTTGTTACTGAAGAACAAAATGTTAATTAAATCCTAGCAGCATTATCTATGCTCTCAGAGAGCTTGGTTTTATGCTAATACTGACCACATATCTCTTTAGGGGAGATGTACATGGGTCTTTTCCAAAAAACAAACTAGAAAACAGCTCTACTCCTGAGGTGGTTAAAAGCCTTTCAAGATATTTACTTCCCAGAATCTCTAGGCTTAGCCTTTGTCTTCTCTTTTTAGCTTTTGGGTGGAAAAGGTAAGCAGCAGCCGTCATTCTCCTACCTTACAGGTTGGAAAGCGATCGCTGAATATGAACAGGGCTGTGGCACCTCCGTGGCAAAGTCTTACTACATGGAATGGCATGTTCTTTTTCTAGGATGATTAATTTGGTCTGGCCTGGAGGTGGTGTGTGGGACTAAATGTTCTGTTCTTTCTATCTGCCTGATCTCTGAGCCATCTGAGATTTAGTTTCCCCTTCACAATTCACCGAAGTTTGCCTGTGAACAAAACACGCGTGGATCCCTGCAGTCAGCGGGAGGATGACGTGCTCCACTGTGAGGTGTGGCCCCCCTCGAAGATTGTCTAGTTCACTGAGACGAAATAAATCCACGTATCAACATGTTGGTGGGAGGTCAGAAGAGTTTGACAAAGTGGCTAAGAGATGTCATCTCCTCACAAAACACCTCCCCATCATGTCACTTTTCTCCACGCGGCTCCCCCCAGCCATGAATTCAAAGGAAGCGACAGCACTGAGTGAGCGGAAACACCCCTCTGAAATAGCAAATGATCGTGGAGACAGTAAAAAGATCAGTGGTTATGGGGATTGGGGGGCAGGGAGAAACGAATAGGCAGATTAGAGGAGTTTTGGGCAATGAGGCTCCTCTGTACGATACTGTACTGGTGGGTCCACGTCGTTACACATTTGTCTAAGTCCAAAGGATGAGCACCAAGAGCGAGCCCTAGTGTAAGCTACGGACTCTGGGTGACAATGATGTGTCCATATAGGTTCATTGATCACAATAAATGTACCATTCTGATGGGGGATATTGATAATGGGGGTGGCTGTGCATGGGTGGGGGCAAGTATTTGAAAAATTTCTGTACCTTTCTCTCAATTTTGCTGTGAATCTAAAACTTCTCTTAAAAAACTCTTTTCAAAAAGAGGGATGATAAGGATGATAATATTAATAATAAAATGATGACAAAGAAATATAACCACTTCTGCAGGGCGTGTTATAGTCTCAATGCCTACTTGAAGAGCTGCTATATTAAACAGAAATGAAATTGAAGCTGATGTCAACCTTACTACATGGTTGAGCATCATTTGAAACTTTTTAAGAACAAACATCTACAGTTGCCAAGTTACAAAATTGGTACGATTCTCATTTCAAAGCCTTGCATCCATCCCAGGGGCCAGCTTTCACACAGTTCTCATCAAAGGCTGTAAATACAATCCGTTTGTGTGCATCAAAGTATAAAATCTGACTCAGAATTTAAAGGCAGGAAGAGATTTGGGACTTCATCTTATCCAGTGGTTGGTAATCCTATCTGTGCATCAGAACCTTCCAGAAAACGGTATTCTGGATAGCGGCTATGGGATGGGATCAGGGCATGCAAATTTTAATGTGTTCCCCAGGAAATCCTAAAATTTCTGAAATCAATTATATGATTCATCTCCTCATTGTTCAGGAAAGGAAACTGAGGCCCAGAATCTTACATGTAAATAACAACAATTGCAACCATAATATAATAATGACAGTTAATAAATACGGAGTGCTTATTATATGGCGGATGCTGTGATATGAGCTTTTATTAGATCTGATACCTATGCTAAACGCACTGTTACTATTCTCACTTTACGGAGAAGATGAGAAGTCTGAGGCTCAGGGAAGTTAAGTAATTTGTTAAAGGTCACACAGCTAGTAGGTGGCAAAGCCAGCAGTCTGAGAATAGAGTTCTTATCCTCAACCACTGGGCTATACTGCCTCTTAAAATATAATTTATATATATTCTTCACGTAATAGAACCTGACCACTTTTGAGGCATTGAATTTATAGTCTTGTACTCCAGTGTAACGTCAAATAGATAGATATATTGTTCAGTTTTAAAACTGCCCTTGTCTAGGCAAAATTCTGTTGTCTTTTATACTTCACCAGTCTCTAAGGAATTCCTCAGTATTGGGTATTATGTTCAACGCTTCATGAATGATCTCCTTTAATCCTCTCAGCAATTATGTGAAGTAGGTACTCTTATCCCCATTTTAGAGATGAGAAAACTAAGGCTCAGAAAGCCCAATGCCTTGTTCCATGACACGCAGCCAGCAAACTGCAGGGTGGGAATTTTAACCCAGGTCTGACTCCAAAAGCTAAGCTCTTTGTGTTTTCACTTTGCTGCTTCTATCTTGTCTGCTGTAAACCCTCAGTCTCTCCCAGCCGTCACACAGACTCAGAAGAGATGAGTTGCTGTTAAGATAAGATAGCCCCAGGAATCAATACAGGCGTTTTCTAAGTGAGCCTGTGGCTTCAGCCCTTCCATTTTGTTTTGCCATAAACAGAATCAGGGCCCCTCCTCTGACCGCAGAGGGGCAGCGCTTCCCCCAGCGTGGCACTGACCTTCGTCGAAGTGCTGGATGGTGTGGGTGGACACCACCACCGGGACTCCATTTGGAACACACTCACTGTCTGGTGACACCTGGAACAGAACACGTGGCCTTGTGAGTCAAGCCGTTGGGGAACATTAGAAGAACTCAAGGAAGAAAGTCAAGGCTACAAGGGTGACTCACAAAAATTAAACTTAATTTAAAGATTATGTTTCTAGAAACTACCCAGCTTCCTTTTATGTCTCAGAGAAACAAAATAACCCCCTCCAAGGACTGGATTCCTGTTATCGCAGGAGCACTCCACTGGGCCTCAGCTCAGAGAGCCCCACACCCAACGGCAGGCACCCAGTCAGGGGTGGAGCAAGAATTGAACATGTGACTTCTGAAACCTGTGAGGTTAACCTCACCCGACTCTCTCGCACACACAGACACAATCGCCAGCCAGGCCTTTAGTCAACAAACTTGTCGAATACAGGAAGTTCATTGTTGGTTTTTCTGTTCCACACCCTAACCCTGCATCTTCACTGCTTTAAACTCTTTCTAATTTTAGAACACTGCCCTGATATTTTTCCTCTTCTGTTATTTGTGACAGATATTTTAAAAAGATTATATATACATACAGATACACACACTCCCATGGAAAGAAAAATAGTTTGCAAACAAGAATATGTTATATAATATCATTTTAGCAATAAAATAATCTAAATCATACCAGTGATAATTAACATTAATTAAATCTCGATTATAGGCTAAGTACTTTGCATATAGTATCTTATTTTGCTAATACTATTCATCATAAGAGTATATGTTAACAAGTGAAGAGAGAAAAGTAAAACTACAGGACTAAATACCAACTCGTAAAGTGGGAACCTCCTGGGGCATACGGAAGATTTCTTTTCTTTGTATTTTTGTAATGGTTTGAATTGTTTAAAACAGATCTGTGTTCTCGAATTGATCATCAACTCTACCAAGAAATCATAAAATCTAAACATCAAACCATTTAGCCTAGATATTACAGCTGGCATCCTCAGGTCCGTACTTGGTGTGCACATTTGATTTATTTGGCTAACAGAGTGTTTTAAGCATTTTAGAATCAGTTACCAATCATTAAAAATCAAGAGATTTCATTAACACTGCTTTCTAACTCCTAATGAAAAATCAGAATCTGGAAACGCTAGTCATCCTTACGTTGGCTGGAGCCAGCAGCCTTCAGATGGGCCCTGGGACCCCAGCTCTCCATGGACCCCAGCTCTCCATGGAGCCCACCCTGCGGCTCCTGGAGGCATGAAATTCCGAGACTTAGCTGGACTTGGAATCATCTGGGGAACCTGAGAAACCACTGATGCCTGGGCCCACACCAAATGATTGTAATTCTAATTGATCTCAGGTGAGGCAAGACATCAGGTGTTTTAAAAGCGATCCACGTAATTCTAATATGCATTCAGGTTGGAGGCCCATTTGGTAGGCATTTGAGTTTTCAGGCGGTGTCTTCAAATCCAACCTATTCTGAGCTGGAATTCCCTCTGAAATGTGATCACTACTAGTTTGTAGGTATTATTTTCCTCCTATAGGGGTTTCCACGTTTAGCAAGGCTACACGTCTTGAATTGAATTAAGATGCACTGATGGTGGAAATTTAGGCTTTCTGCTCTCTCTGGTGATAGAAGGTCTATGGAGAACCATTCAGTCTCCTTGGTCTCAGCCCTTGAGAGCAACCTTCTAAAAGAGGGTTCCGAAACGAGTAGTTCTTCACACATTCCCAACAGCTGAGGAGCTTTAAAAATATTGACACTTGCCCTCACCCCCACACGCAGTTTCTGATTTAATTAGTCTAGTATGCAACTTGGGCACCACAAGTTTTAAAAGTTCCCAAGTAATTCTAATGCGCAGCTAAGACTGTGAACTACTGATCTAAACCTGCGTTTCTCATTCTCAGCACTATGGACATTTTGGGCCAGGTTGTTCTTTGGTGTGGGGGGCTGTCCTGTGCATTGTAGGGTGTCTAGCCGCATCCCTGGCCTCCACACACTAGATGCCAGCTATTAGCACCCCCTCCCTGAGTTGTGACAACCAAAAATATCTCCAAGCGTTGTGAAGTAGGGGTATGGGGGGTGAGAACTGCTGGTCTAAACCACTCAGGGGCAGGTACCGAATGGCTTCATAGTGAAGTTTCTTAAAGCCAGAAGTTCTACAGGCTCCCACCTCTTCCAATTCCTGATCCAACCAGTCTTAGAGGGGCTCAGAACCTTCATTTTTATCAGTCTCCTTGATGGATTCTAGAGGTTCGAACACAACTGAACGACCCATGAGAACTTCAGCCCAACACCAATCATCTCTATGCCATGGGCAACAGGCAGGCAGTTTATCCTTCTGTCTTCTATAACGCCACCTACTGGTAGCCCAGGGGTCTCCAGCCTTTTAGGCACCGGGGACAGTTTCATGGAAGACAATTTCTCCATGGACTGGAGGGTGGGCCAGGGGAGGGGGACAGCAGAGCTCTGTGACCAGGTCCCTAACAGGCCATGGACCAGTACCGGTCTGAAGCCTGGGGGTTGGGGACAGCAGTAGTAGCCAATATCCCTGTGACTGTTACTGTGCTACCTTGTAAGTCTCTGCTTCCGATTCAGTCTCTTGGTCTTCTACTCTCTGCGGAACACTCATTTGGTTACCCATTTTTCCTGCAACAGAGAAAAAAAAGATTAAGGAAGAGAGAAACAAATGAAAAACCAAACCAAACCAAAGCCTTATGTGGGAAGCTAAGGTGCAGAAATCTGGCAAGTTACCCGTGGGTGTGTTATCACAAGCCGAAGTTAGAACACATTGCTTGTATTTATTTTGGGCAATGGAGAGGAGATTTTGGATTCATATATTCAACAGAATTAAAGTCAAATGCAGCCACAATTTTCAATTGCATGTCATCGCTGGGGGAAAATATTCATCATCCTTAAAAGTGTATTTGGTGTAGATAGTATTTTTTTTCCTACAGTCACAGCTATCATATTAAGGAGACTTTAGAATGAGGGTAATTGAGATAATACTTATAATTTTTAGCTTTCCCTGATCCTCAAACTAAATGAATCCCCCTGTAAAAACCTCTCATGGCACTTAGCACTGCTCATATTATATACTTATTGGGTATATTTTCATTCATTCATTGATTAAACAAATACAGTCATGTGTCGTTTAATGATGGGGATACATTCTGAGAAATGTGTTCTTAGGTGATTTCGCCATTGTGCAAACATTGTAGTGCACTAACACAAACCTAGGTGGTGTAGCTTACTATGCACCCAGGCTGTATGGTACAGCCCGTTACGCGCTGGCTACAATCCTGTACAGCATGTTACTACGCTGAATACCGCAGGTAATTATAACACTATGCTAAGTATTTGTGTATCTAAACATAGAAAAGGTACAGTAAAAATACAGTATTATAATCTTACAGGACCACTATTTGTATGCAGCCCCTTGTTGACCATCCTTTTGTTGCTCATGACTGTATATATTGGGCACAACTCTGTACCTAAAGCTGTACCAGGCACCAGGGTCACAACTGTGAATTAAACAGACGAGGCCCTCTGACTTCCTGGGCTGAAACCTGGTAAGCGGACAAACAAGAAACAAATGGACAATAAATCCACCAACTAGGCCATTTCCAACAGTTCAAGGCAGCATGACACAGTGGTTAGGGGCACAGAGTCTAGAGCAAGACTGCCTGGGCTTGAATCCACTCTCTGCCCCTCAAAGCTGTGCGTCCTTGGAAGAGTTAATTAGCCTCTCTGTCCCTCATAAGACGGCTACAAGGACTCAGTGGGTTAACGCTTAAAAATGGTTAAAACAACATCTGGCTCATGATAAGCAAAATGTATATGTTTATTAAACATAAATACATAGGGTTCTATGTTCTGAATAAAAGTAAATTAATAGCATAATATGAGATGGGGGCAGTATGGGAGAAGGCGGGGGGTGGCCATGCTGGGTAGGGTGGTTCTGGAATGGCCATTAACATCATCATCATCCCAGAGTTGGAAAGCACAATGGAATTAATTTGTCTTTCTTCCCCAATAAATTGTAAGTACCATGAGGTCAAGGCAGTGTCTGCTTTTACCCCACTTTGTAACTCCTATTCTTAGTAGCGTTTGCATTTATTAGGAGCTTGATTATTATTTATTAGTTGAATGGACGGAGTAACCATTGATAACTACTGCTCACTGGTCAGGCGCTGACCTCGGTACATGATCACATCATCACCGAACCTCTCAAGAGTCTTGTTATTATGATAATGACAATGGTAAATAATTATTTAGTACGTGCTCAATTCCAAGCTCTGTTTTCCAAGTGCTTTGCTTGTACCATCACATACAGGGGCAAAGGGGCCTGCAGCAGCCCTGTGAAACAGGTGTTATGATTTCATTCTTGATTTGAAAAAGCTGAAGCCCAAGGAGGTTAATGTACTTCCCAGAGATCACCAGTTAACAAGGATAGAGGCAAGACTCAAACACAGTGTGCCTGCGCTCCCAACCACCATAATATTCTACATGCTTTTAGCTCCCCTAAGAAAGGAGGGAACTGAGCCTCCAAAACTCAGCCAGGGACACACATCCAGAAAATGGAGACTTGACCCAAGCATGTCTGATTCCAGAAGGAGGATCATTTCAGCCACTCCAAATACCTGCTGTCTTGCTATCTGAAGTTCCTTTTTTTGCACACGCAATTCCAATGTAGCCCATCTCCAAAGGCCTGGCCACTGGCTCATCTGCTCCAACGGCTCTCAGAATGAAAATTGGGGCTTTTGATTTCTGGCTGAAAGGAGCCAACGTGTCACCAAGGTTTCTTGCAGGCTTCTTGCCCTTATATGAGTTTCTACTCCCTGGTAATCAATGCATTGAGGAATAGGAAAGTAGGGAGGCCAAAAAAAAAAAAAGGGTCATGGATCCCGCCATCTGCTCTCTTGCAGGAATTTGATACATAACCAAATTTGAGGAATTTTACGTGTTTTCGAACCACACCATGTAACAAAGCTGAGCAGTGCTAAAACATACAGGATGCTTGTTCTTTTGCACCATTTTCTATTTATAAAATCCACGACATGTACACTTACAACAGACCATCACTTCTTTCTGAGACATTATGAATATAACATTGAATCCTCAAGACCAGGGTCAGCAAACAACAGCTGTGGCTGAATCCAGCTTGCTGCCTGTTTTAGTAGGCCAGTGAGCTAAGGATGAGTTTCACATTTATAAACGGTTGAAAAAAGAATCAGAAGAGTCATAGATTGTGACGCATGAAAATTACATGAAAGACAAATCTCGGCATCCGTAAATGAAGTTTTATTGGAAGATAGCCATGCCCTTTTATTTATATATTGTCTATGATCGCTTTCATGCTCTAAAGGCAGAGTTGAGTGGTTGCGACAGAGACCATATGGCCTGCAAAGCCTAAAGTATTTGCTATCTGGCCCTTTACAGAAAGTTTACCAGGATTTCAACCTACCATGTATAAAAATAATGACAACTCTAACAATCATAGTAACGATAAAATAACAACAGTAACGACATTTGGTGAGTGCTTACCGTGTGTTGAGAAACTGCTCTAGGAGCTTTATTTGCTGTAAAACTAATTTACTCCTTTCAGCAAATCAACCGGCAGTGGTATTGTTATTCCAATTTTGCTGGTGCAGAAACTTAGGCACTCAGGTTAAATGTGTTGGCCAAGGTTACACACAAACATGTGTGTACATATATGCACATTCAAGAATATATGCATGCACACCATGTCTTCATCTAAATTCAGCTTTTAACAAATTTAAAAATTATTATTTAACAATGAGTTTACAAATTTTTAAAGCTCCTATTTAATTGAACTTAAATTCAACACGAATTGGGCGCTACTTTCAATGGATGTTTGAGGTTATGAAATACTTGAGGCTGGAAGATGTGTGACATATGCAGGCAGAAGAGGAGCTTTTTCATCCCACAGAGTTGGGGGTTGCACGATCCTGATCATTGCACATTTTAGGTGGTCTCTCAGCAACTTCGGGGTCAAGAAAGGGTCAATGAAAGAAGAAAAATCAAGTGACATGTCTTTTGCAGCAATTACCTGGATTCAGATAATGTCACTTTCCACCAGCAGTTACAACATATGTGTTGGGAAATTGCTCCTGCCTGTCGATCAAATTTTTTAAAGAGCTGGATTTATGTGGGACAAAAGCAAAAGGTTACTGCCACCTATTGGCCGACGTCGGCATCAGCAGAAATGAACTGATGCCGCCTGCAGGGCGAGGTCCATGCAGTGTATAGCCCAGTGGCTGGTGCAGAGATTAGCACTTGCGGAGATTAGCTGTTATCATAAACGCTAAGCGCAATGCGCCACACTTTAGCAACACTAATACAGAATATTTCCTACAGTGTCCACACCATGCCAGGCATTGCTCTAAATGCTTCCCTGTGTTAATGTATCACATCCTTGTCGGAATCCCATGAGGCAGGTATTCCTACTGTCCCCACTTTACAGATGCAGAACCCGAGCCCAGGGAGCTTAAGTTCCTGACCTAAGATCAGTTAGGACTGGAATGTGTCTCCCCGAAGAGCCATGTGTTGAAGCCCTACCCCTTCGTGTGACTGTTTTTGGAGACAGGGCCACTAAAAAATCAGTTAAGGCTAAATGAAGTCTAAAGGCTAAATGAATAAGGGTGGGCCCTGATCCGATAGGATTAGTGTCCTTATAAGAAGAGACACCAGAGAGCTCTCTCTCCCCACCATGGGAGGACACAGCCAGGAGGCTGCTGTGGGCCAGCTGGGAAGAGGGCATCACGGGAAATGGATTAGCCAGAACCTTGATCTTGGACTTCCAGCCTCCAGAACTGTGAGACAATAAATGTCTGTTGTTGAAGCCACCCAGTCTATGGTATTTTTGTCATTGCAGCCTTAGCTGACAACTACAGCTCATCTGCCGGTAGGCGGGAGAATCACTTAACCCTTGCAAGCCTGGCTCCAGAGTTCAGACTCTTCGCTTTCTACTTTCTTACTTTGTACTATTTCTTCTGCCACATAAATTATGCTACAATGTTATGAAATATTTATATGTAATACAATAGAACATAAAACACAAAGTATTTATTGTAGATTCATTTTTGCAGTAAGAAATAAAAATTATAACTAGGGAAGGAATACATGTGGTAAGGTCTAAAGTGAGGATTGTACAATTAAATGGTCACTGATCATTGTTGTAAGGATTTATCACAAGGGCTTGGCAGTAGTCAGGCAAGCAAATGTTAGTTATTACTAATATTATTTATCTCTTGCTAATGTTATAATCCCATTAGCTCTCTGATCCTGCCCATGAGTGAATCGGCCACCTGGAAGCTGCCCTCGAATCCCTCCTCTTTTACACTAGTGATTGATGGTCCGTGTTGCCTCGTTGTGGTTACAGATTAACAATAAACCCTCCCCCTGGGAACAGGCCAAACACCAAACACGGTACTGCCCACCGTGGAGAAAGAGCATTTCTGAAACTTCATCGCCAGCAGGCGGCTAAATGGCTGTAGAATTGAAGGGGCAGGTCCTTGCAGGGTGGAATGGTGACAGAATTAGTCACCAAGTAAACAAGAAACACCTTTGATCAATGCGATGGAATGTAGGCAAACCACGGCCCCTCCTCACCGCCCAGCC